GAAAGAATTACAACGTGCGATGTTGATAACTTCTTGGGTTTATGGTATATTCTCTCGCTCGGACCGCAGTGCATACATTTGTACGACGGCGTTATGTAACTACGCCGCCTCCATCTAAACAGAAGTTAGTACACATGCGATACATGTTAAACAAATATGCATCACTTGAAGCGGGATTGAGAATACAGAATTACGAGATCCCGTATGGAGGATTCAGTCTGCACGAAAACCATACTAATACGCGGAAGTCAATCTAGAATGTAATCCAAGAATTTATTTAAAGTGGTAATCCGATAATGTAACCAGCTCAAATATATCATGTGTAACAACAAAAAGCTCATACTAATACATACATAATAAATAATAAATGAAATAGTTACAAAAACTAATTTTGTTCTCGAGAAAATACTGAAAAAAAACGCAAAATAAAAATTGTGCCTTCTATTGAGAAATGAACTTTCTTCTTCAGTAGTAGTAGTGCCGAATAGGAACGTCCTTGCATACGATTGCACACTTGGCCATAAAAAAATTATTTTATCTATTATAATTACGCGTGCAATGACATTTGCTCGCACAAAATTGCGTCAAAAACCACAAAACCAGACAAAGTGAACATTCGATCATGTGACTAAAAGAGGTTGATGTGGCTGGAAACCGAACTAATTTAGCTGGTAACATTTTGGTGAGGCTTTGCTTGATTTATAGCTGTGGCTCATGTACCAATCCAGACTAATTTTTAGTGGCATTTTGGACCTATTGCTAGTTCTAAACGAATGTAACTAGTATCCAAGTATAAAATTCACATTCACCAAAACAAAAACACTTGTGTAAACGTATTTTCGACCTACACAAAAGACTGTATTAATCGCGACCAAAAAATTTACATTTCCAAAAAAGCTTTTATTCAATAAAAATGGTTCGCTATATTCATCTTGCTAACAAGAGTCTGCATGTAAACAAGAATGCTAACTGATTTCCGTTTGTAGAAATTTCTCTACAAAGTTGCAGAAGCTGTTGCGCTTTTGTTCTTTGCTTGGGTGTTTGCCAACAAAATCAACTGGCATGCAGTTTTTACCATTGCATGCTTCCTTTTGTATACCAACAAGCTGCTGCACATAATGTGGTAGTTGACAAACTCAATGGTATTGAAGAGAGCCTCTGCGAAATACACAAGTGGTTCCAACCAAACGATAAACATCGCTCTCCGAAACCAATCAAGTTATACGAGGGAGACGTTCTAACATTCTGGAACGAGTTTAAAAACCTCGTTGATGTAAGAGAAAACTTGAGTATAGTAGCCTGTCCGGAATGTATCTCAAAGTTAAGAGAGAGAGCGAAGACTTCGAGAAGGGTACCATCAGAACATCTACAGTGTGACACGAAATTATTGATAATGGTTATTGCCAGCAAACGACTGTACCAATCATTATCATTAATACCTCGTTTGATAGCTTAAAAAAAGTACATTCTACATAAAATTTTGCATCCATAATATTTTTAAAACAAAAGAGACTTGTTTTACCCTTAATGCAAAATCCTCCCCAAGCAAAAATCTTAGTTCGATCCTTTGGTATTAGTATTGGGCGAGTAGGCCTTGGACCCTTATACCAATGTTCAACAGTGTTTCTGAAGAGTTAAAATGCAGTTTCGTCAGTAAACAGGGTCCTTGTCCAGTTATCGTTAAGATGTTTTTGGGCCTACTCAACCCGTTTGGCTTTATGCATTTCTGTAAGCATAGGTGTGGCCTTCAGTACATCTTTTTCATAACCAGAATTATGCATATGTCTCCGAATAGTTTCCCAGGAGACATCCACACCATTGTTGGACATTTTTGTTACCAAAGTTCTTAGGGAAATGGTTGGATCGCGTCGTACATACTGACCGATCGTCCTGGATGCACATGCTGTGATAATTGATGGTCGACCAGCACCCTTCTTGTGCACGTACACCTTGGTTCCAATAATGTAATACGGTTTGGCGCTGTGTCTCAAGGTCGGTTGCAGTCATTTTGGATGAAAAATTTACGGAAGAAAAAAGTTAAAGAAGGAATATAATGTTTACCGCGAATCAATACTTTGTTTTTATTTTTTATATGACGCGTTTTGGTTCCAAATTGGTTGTAGATAATCGCGTTTAAATCGCGTTAAATTTATTATCAGTGTCACACTGTATCAATATAAAACAATAACATGTCTTCACCCAGCGCTTCTCCACCTTCCTCTACATCCTCTACTTTGACGGAAGAAAGGTCAACTCGCACGATGGCGGACGTTGTGAAGAATCTAGATACGGAAGAACTTATCAATTACTTGTGGAAGAAAAACTTGAAGCTTAAAGAGTCGCATTTCAAGATTTTTCGAAAAAAAGAGATTACTGGTTCAGCGTTTCTGGATAGGACAGAAGATAGATTCCGTAGGATTGGTTTGGCATTGGGACCAGCGATGGCACTCGCAAAATTTATCGAGGGTCGAGATCAAAAACTACGAAGTTTCTCGTCATACAAAACTCTGGAAGAACTGAAGGACGTGCTCCGCAAATATAAAGTCAATGGTGAGGATATTATGAGCATCAAGCAATTCAATCCGGGTATGTGTTATTTTTTCTTGGCAAAAGTGATCGGTAAAAACTGTGACGATCGAATATAGGTGTATGCTAATGTTTTATAATTTTCGATGACAACGACAGAGCCCTTGAACAATGTATGAATGAAAGCTATAAGCCAAAATGTTGGTCTTCTGAAAGAAAATAACGTTAAGACTTTCGAATTTGGAAACGATGCAGACCAACGCCAACGAAGCTACTCGCTGTGTATTCATTACATCAATATTAAATGCATTTCTGTCTATCGTTCGACGAATTATCAACGAAGAAAAAATCTACATATCATATCAAAAAGCAGTTTCTGGTGAGGAAGCATCTGAACGTGTTGACTACGCAATCAAAGAAAACGAGGATCTTATGTGTATAGCAGAGGGGAAACCTCGTAATGTTGAAATTGGTTATCTTCAGAATATCATGCAACTAGAGGGTGCATATCATACAAACAAAAAGAAACGTACGGCTGATGAAGCATTCCGAGATGATGATTATGACTATTTTTACGGGATAGTATCTACAGGTATTCATATCTTATAATTCCGGCAATAGAAATTTTGACTATGTTACAACTGATTTACAAATTTATTTATTTTTTTAGCTACGGAATGACATTTCATCGTTTTTGCTACTGATGGGCTCTATTGTACGAGTAAAAGTGAATACCAGATAAATCTCTCCAAAACGGCATTGAAAGAAGATATCGAATCAATCAAAAAGGGGTAAAACAGATGTTACGTGTTATCTGGGCTTATTAAAAGATCAGCCAGTAAGAAGGCTAGGATCAAAAAATTTACCAAGAAATAGATTTCCCGCTTCACATGTCTCAATTCCAGATATTTTAGTTAGTTATATCTTGGAGTATCACTTTTTTTTCGAACTTGGGAGGAAAAAGAGCGCGAGAGTATGAATGAGGCCGATTTTCTTAGAATATAAGCGAAATTTTGAGGCTAAGATGGGCGTACCTACTACTCCGCATAAAAAAGAATTGAAAAATAAATCTTTAGCAATCATTGAATATGTGTAATTGGTATCAAGCAAATATTATCTAGCTAAATAGTAATTTCCAGAGCAGAGAGATTGTTATATATTTTAGGTAAGGGGGGTCTTTGTCGCATCTTACAAATAAGTATAAGAACAAATTCAAATAAAAATTTATTACTCCGATACCTGGATCGTATAAAAGATTCTTGTGTCGTGTAATTTCGGGTGAGCAACCAAATACTTATCAAAGAGGGTTTTTGGTCGCAGTGGACGGATCTCTCACCTGATTTACATACCTGCCCTATTGAAATTTTACATAAGTATAAAATTGGGGTATAGTCAAGATATAGTCACTATATAACTATTTTCGGTAATCACTAATATTGTAAAATTGTACTTTGGACAGATACCAAACAGGTGTGATTTTGACAGAAAATCGGTGTCCAAGGTATAATTATTATAGAAAGGGTAGTTATACTTTGGATAGACACAAAGAATATACATAATTTAAAAAAAATCGGGGTCTGGTTAAGGTATAATTATTAGAAAAATGGGGGTTACATACAAAGCGTACTATTTTAACTACATAATTCGAAAAAAAAAGTGTCTATTCAAGGCAAAATTATTACAGTAGATAAAAATATGCTTTGGATAGACACAAAATAAAGTGTACTATTTGATATACTAGTTGCTTTGGATAGACACGAAATAAATGATAACAATTCGGCACTACGTGCCTCATCATTGAGCGATAATCGAATGAATTATGTGAGCTAACAAATGCCTAACAATTCGGCACTATGTACCTCATTCTTAATCAGTATTCGAATGCATCATACAAAGCCAGGACACGAATACTATTCGGCACTACGTGCCAGGTTCGGGCATAGCCCTCACACCGGGCTCACAAATGACGATATATGATTGTCAGATATATATATTTTTTGCCCATGTAACCCAGCGACGGAAATCAGCCACGACTACTAAACCGACATGCATTATTATTACGGTATGTCGCATGTGGGTGACGACAAAAATTTGCTACAATCGTCATTCGAGTGACGTGGAAAATAGAAATCGCACGTCAAGCCACCTGCATATCTTGATGGCTCTCGGATGACGATACAAATAAAATCTACGCGTCACCTGATGAGCAGACTATAAACATTTCATCTTTGACGAGGCAAACGCAAAACGCACGTCATACCTAAGACTATAATAGTCTAATCTAAGTTGTCTGGAGTTTATAAAACTCCAAAAGACTATGTTCGATATAGCGGTTTTATTTATTTAATTATTTAATTATTTATTTATGGTTTGTTGACGTAAATGTATATTCTCTAGTTTTTTGACAAGTAATACGTCTGACAAATTAATTCATTGCTTCAATAGATAACCATTGATTTCTGTTCTCAAGAATGCCTGAAGCTTTCCGTTGAACGTGTTGCATTAAGGGCACGTTTGCAAATTTCTTACGTTTGTAAAACGTTAACGAAACCCTTGTCCTTTCCTCCTTAATATTGTTAATTTCATTGATATACAAAGAAGGAAAAATAATATTTATTACACTGACGGTTTATAACAAATTCGGCATTCATAGTACGGATCTACTACAATTATAACAGATCGGACCACATTAGTATGGACTCCGTTATAGTTCCGTTATATCGAACAATACCTCATCAAGCTCTGTTCATCGAACTGTACTACAACAAATTAATAGTAAAATCCGCTTCGTCTATTTGCATTAAGCGAAATCTGTTATATCGATAAACCGTTACATCTATTGTTGCAGTGTTGAACAGAAAATTTTGGATCACGTGTATAATGACTGCATAATAATTACATAATAATACGAGTCCTAAACATGCTTACCGGAAATTAATACAGGTGAAACCTGTTAATATTAATATTAAATCGGCGCTGATTAAACCGGTCTCGAGTTTAACCGGCCGCGTCCAACAATTTTCTGAACCGGAAAACCATCAAATCAGGCCCGCCAGTTTAAACAGGTTTCCCTGTAATACTAATACTGCAAACTCAATTTAAATCGCGTTTAAAAAGATTGATATACGAACAAAATATTTGATGTACTGGTCAAGTTAATGGTAAATCGTCAACTAGACTACGCATAAAAGAACTATCACTATATTACTACTACAGCGCACAAAAAAAAAGGGCACTGCTGAGTGGCAAGAATAATTGCACAAATTATATTGGGTTGAGAAGTATTTGAACGCTTACTATTACTAGCTGATATGAATTCATGACATGCTTCCCTTTCTAATCACTTGCATGTTGTTTTCCCTGTCTTTGACCTGAAAAACTGTACGCCTTTTTGTTTTAGTTTGGCCTTAAGTGGTGAATATGAACTCCAGAAGATACTATCAAGCAAAGAGTTGCTTTTGCTTTATGCTTGTATGGCTGTATTTTATTGGCTTAAAGTAAAAGTGTTTCACCTGACTTGTAATTTTACGAAGAAAAAGAGAGGGGTGAGAACGTAAATTGTATTAGCATTAACCAATGCGTAGAAACAATAATGGCAACAATAACAATAACAAGAGACGCATAGCATTAGCTCCTGGATGGACTCATCACATGATTTAATTAGTATCGCGCAGGTGCGTACACAGGCTTCATTTGTCCACAATACTTTAGCTATGTTGAGCTTTATATGAGGAAGAAAATAACCTGGAAAAGACCCTGTTTATTACTGTCACCAACTGAAAACCTCTTTCGTTGCACTATTTTGTCTGTCGTACCAGACTCCTTAATCAGGTCAAAAACAATATTATTATTGACAGGACTGATTCCCGAACTTTTTTTACAAACAACCTTTCACACAACCAAACAATATAGCAGAAATGGAATTCAGTACTTTGATCCACTTCTTGCTTCAGGTCGGCATGGTTGTCGGCCCCGTAACTGGTTATCTTGATCAGATAGCTCAAGTTCGTCGCACTGGCTCGAGCATAGGTTTCTCGCTGGATACATGCGGAGTGTTACTCGTTAGCAAGTTAGTGTTGGTTTAATATAATCCAAAGCGTTCCGTAAGGATGAAAACGATATCTAATGACCATTTTATGACTTTAGCATTATACGTGTTTTCTTTTGGTGAGCTATCCATTTTCCCGTCCTCCGTTCGCGTTGTATTCTGGTTCATTAATTGACATATTTTAATCAAGGTTCGGTCAAAAGTTCGATATGGTTCTCTTACTACAGAGTATCTTAATGATCATTGTCCAATTGATTCTTCTATATGTCTGCGTCGAGTATCGATATCCTATATCGCCATCACCGAATAGACGATGGTTCTGGAACTGGTACAGATATCGATCATACATTATATTTCTGAGTATCTTAACAGGAACATTGGGGATCTTTTACGTGACACTGGGGGGGTATCATTGGGCTATTACGACCTTGGGATATATGGTAAACGTTATTGACAGATCAAGAGGAGAGGGAGGAGAAGGGAGGAGAGTGCATCAGCTATCGAGTTTGTATTTAGTTTCTTTGCTGATATTCTGTAGGCTTTGGGAATAGAAAGCACGGTTCCGATGCCGCAAGCTTGGGAGAACTTTCGACGACAGTCTGTGGAAGGATTCAGGTACGCATGAGTTGAATGTTTGGGACCGAACGATACCTATACGCTTGTCATGCTTACTGTGATATTCACCCCGTGATCTTTATTCCAGCCCTTTAATATTACTCATGTGGTTCTTTGGAGACACCTTTAAAACCTTCTATTTCTTGTATACCGCTTCTCCATTACAATTCATCCTGTGCGGTATCGTGCAATTGTCGGTTGACTCGCTCGTTGTTTTTCAGTTTATATTGTATGATCATAGATTGCGAGAAAAACTTGGACTTGATGGGCGAGAACCGTATAGACCTCAGAGTTATAATGCACTGGACGAGATTTTGTAAATAACTTGTGTGAATCTGAATTTAGAGATATGCGATCTCACAATCACACACATTATGTTTGCTGGAATACGTGATGTTGAGAGCATCAGGTGAAAGGAGGAGAAAGCAATAATGTTTATTCACATAATTCAATTTGATTATTTCGTTTGATGCAAACGCAATACATCACACGTTTATACATCTCAAAGTATAAATCAAGTAATATTTTTTACTGGTAATTTAAATAAAGAACAACGCCTGCCAATTTACGATAATTGAACTTGCGGTGCTATTAGCGGGCCAAGGAGAGAAGTAGGTATATCTAAACTTTATTACGACGACTCGGTTATTCACAACTACCAATGAAGTTGACTCCTTGTCAGTGACATCGGAAGAACTTCGGAGAAGGCCGTCAATCTGCATCCTGTGCATGCTGTGTTTCTGTTGCGAATGTCAACGTCATTGAAGTGACGTATGTTTCATGGATTCGTCATCACTACTAACTAGACTATTGAAGGTAGATACGACGCGGAAGATTTTACCGATAAATTTTTATCTAATGCTGACTAAAATAATAAACCCCTTTCACCCGGAGAGCACGTAATTATAATTCGTATTATACTAAACAAATTTAATAATATACAATTGTATGAACGTCCTTGGTTGAGTACTATTGGCTGTGAATGCGAAGAGTTAACGCATTGAGACAATGTAGCAATAAAGCGCATACAATGTATGCATACATACTACTAAAAGTGAACGCGTTTGAGAATAATTTTCTCGGTAAATTATTAAAGAGAAATATTACTATCCGTAGAACGTCAAGAGCCAATACACGCCTTACGACATTTTGAGAAAATTGCACCGGATAGAGAATCTCTTTATCTTTCTGATAAAAATATCATTACTGTATCACCGCGCGGAACAAAAAGTACCCGAAATCCGATCCAGACGTTTTATACGTACAGCGTTTTTCTTAATAACGTTACGCGTGCATGTCTCAAATGTATTTTGCCCCCAAATACATTCATTTAATCTGACTAATTTTGGGGGCACGGATGATTTATTGTTATGCATTCTGCGCCAAACATTTTATTTATAATAATTATTCCATGCATGCATAAAACTGAATAAAGTGTTTTGCACATATTTTCTGCGCCCAACGATTGTTGAGCATTCCGCCAACCTATCCATTTTGGTGAATGGGACCGTCTGTGGCCAATTTGTATACGGATGACAAGGGTACTTGATTATCTGCCAACGCAAACGCAAACGTTACGCAATGAATTTTTTATCGATTATTTATATCTTCGTGTGTGGACTTTAATTCTGATTAATCAGCAGCTGCATCATGAAGGCTCCTCCATTCCCTTGGAAAGAAGAGTTATTCTGTCACGGAGGGGTAGACTATCATGCTTTCATAAACTGTTCCTTTTTCTCTGTCTTCCCAATTGCGACTTTTCTACTCGTCTTCGTTCTAGGAGCGTACCGATATGGTACTGTCATCCGACAGCGAGCCGCATATCAACCATTATTCGAATCCACAAATGTCACTCGTCTTTCTACCTTGTCTAAAGCGATATACGTTCTCAGTGCTCTGATAGTAGCAACTTACTTAGTAGATAGTGTTATACTGACGTGTAGAGCTTTGCTTGAGAAATATTGGACTTCTACAAATTACGCCTTGTACGATGTCTTCTTCACGGTTGCCTGGTTGATTAATTTGAGTTTGATGTCATTCGAGTCAAAGGTTAATAGAACATGGTCATGGATACAGTATGCGTTCTATTGGGTAGTACTCATTGGGGACTCGGTTCTGCTATGTTCATGGCTCTTGAACGTGACGCACGCTGAAACTCGTAAGTTAATAGCGATTGACTAAAGTATGGAAATTGATTTCATGTTGGTGGCTGAAAGTTTGCTATCACGTTTGAAAAGCAATGTTATGCTTACTACAGAATATGCCCCAGACAGTGATAAATGCCTAAACCTTCATTGCCATCTATCGCTTCAATGGAACTCTTACTAACCATGTAGCTTCATTATATTTTTATAACTTATCTACTATACAGATCAAGATATGACAATATACGACGTTTTATTATTTTTCACCTTCCTCGCCCGATATTTTCTTCTCTTGGTTGCAACCATTGGTGTCAGTTTTCACGCCTTCCACGACACTGTCTATGAAGATGTTGAATCTGGGTTCACGACCAACGGTACTGCCTACGAATCTTTGCCTGATGCAGCTGGACATGCTCAATCTGCCGAAGATGCAAGCACTTGGTCGGACTTTTTCGAAAAGATGCGAAAATTGTTACCATTCCTATGGCCGGAAAAAAATCAAGTGTTGCAGTTCTTGGTTTTCGTTTGTTTCGCTTTGATGATCACAGGGCGCATTGTAAACGTGCTTGTACCGCGACAACTGAAGATTGTCACTGATGAATTGACAAGCGATGATGAACATCGTCGTAAGTAGAATATTAGTCCAGGGGGTGGTATTGAATAATCCGACAAACAAGCGTCTATTTTTATATTAAACTAACTATCTAAACCCAATTTTTCGTGACTAGCCGAGTTCGTTTGGGGATCAATCGCTTTGTTTGTCTTTTTCCGATTTCTCCAGGGTGGAGTAGGTCTTATACAATCAACTCAAAATTATCTTTGGATTCGCGTTGGCCAGTACACTACTCGAGAGATTTCTACGAACATGTTTGCACATCTTCATTCTCTATCTCTTTCGTTCCACATTAATCGTAAAACCGGCGAAGTCTTACGAGTGATGGATAGAGGCACTTCCAGCATCGTCTCTCTTCTCAATCAAATACTATTCCAAATATTACCCGTGATTGTGGATATTGCAGTGGCCGTGATTTATTTTGTCGTTGCTTTCGGGTGGTCTTTTGGTAGTATCGTATTCGTCACAATGGCGAGTTATATCTATGTTACGATATCGATTACCGAGTGGAGGACGAAATTCCGAAGACGAATGATTGAGTTGGATAATGATGCAAGAGCTAAAGCTGGTAAGTGGATATCGTATCTTGACGTGTAGTATTGTCTGCATGTTGCTAATCATGTACCTTTTTTTGTATAGTGGATTCATTATTAAACTTTGAGACAGTCAAGTATTACAATGCAGAACGCTTTGAACTACAGAGATACGATGAGGCTGTGGCGAAATATCAGGAAGCTGACTATGAAGTACAGCTATCCCTTAACGTATTAAATCTCAGTCAAAATCTCATAATCACGCTTGGTTTGCTTGTCGGGACCCTGCTCTGTGCTTATCGCACGGCGAGTGGTGAATTTACCGTTGGTCATCTCGTGTTGTTTCTGACATATATCGGTCAACTGTATACGCCGGTGAGAAGATGTTTAATACATGATAATTATTATACATGTAATGCCATAGTTCCCAATCTAATTCTGTCTCGTACATCCCTGTAGTTGAACTTTTTCGGGACTTATTACAGATTGATTCAATCCAATTTTATCGATATGGAACAAATGTTTGATCTTTTCAAACAAGAACAAAATGTAAAGGATGCTCCTGATGCCACGGATCTGAAAGTAACAGAAGGAACAGTTACGTTCGGTGGGTATTTATTAAATGCTCCATATTTTAATTTCGCTGTCAGGCTTTGTCGTTACATACTAAACGTGCTATTCAAAATCCACTATCCTTTTTCCAATTACAGAAAATGTTTGTTTCTCTTATGATCCACGACAACAAGCACTGAAGAACGTCTCTTTCACGATTCCTCAAGGCAAGACGGTTGCTCTAGTAGGACCCAGTGGCGGCGGCAAGTCAACGATATTGCGATTGCTTTTCCGATTTTACGACGTGGAGTCTGGGCGCATCTTGATCGATGGCCAAGATATCCGACAAGTTAAACAAGAGTCGCTTCGTCGTAACATTGGCGTTGTTCCACAAGACACCGTTTTGTTTAATGATACTATATTTTATAACATACACTACGGAAATGTCAATGCAAATGAGAACGAAGTATATAAAGCAGCCAAGGCTGCACAGATTCACGATCGCATACTAACATTCCCAGATGGATATGAGACGAGAGTTGGAGAACGCGGTCTTAGGTTAAGCGGTGGCGAGAAACAAAGAGTCGCTATTGCTAGAACCATGTTAAAGGTATAGTGATTTCATGACAATATTCTGCTTTAAATATTTCAGTTCCATGACTAATACTGTTAATTATTTTCTGGACATAATAACAGGATCCTCAGGTAACCCTTAATCCGCGTTCATTTTCTCGCTCTTTTCTCTCTTCAACCGTCTAACGTTACAAATATTTCCTCCCCTCATTGCTCAGATCATCCTCCTTGATGAAGCGACCTCAGCGCTCGACACAACAACAGAGCGCCAGATCCAGCATGCTCTTACATACATAACTAAAGACCGAACAACCCTAGTTATTGCTCATCGTCTCAGCACGATAGTAAATGCCGATTTGATCCTCGCTGTAAAAGATGGTAGAATAGTCGAGTCTGGAACTCATAGAGAATTAATTGAGAATGTCGATGGTGTTTACTACGAAATGTGGCAAAAGCAATTAGCTGAGGATCAGAAAATAGAAGCATCAAAAAATAATACTGATGCGGAATAGAATAAAAACACTAGACCGCTTTTATCAACATACAATGTGAGAGATAAATAGGGTGCTCGGTATATTATAGTCTGTTGTCGTTTGTTCTGGCCATTGTTTATTATAGTGGAAATAGATAACTTTAGGACTTGTATAATTATATATCGTTTAATAAACATCGAATTTGTAAGACAACACATTCTTAAATTTCTATGCAATAGCCTAGATAACATTTTATAATACAAATCTAGTCACTTTACCAACTGATTCGAGATTAAATAAATTAATAATAGTATGCTTTTATCTACATGAACTTCTTAACGATCAATGTCATTACGATGGCCAGAACAATCCCAATCAAGATGTCAATGAAAACAATGTCTCGTGGTTTATGTGACGTATTAGCTGGCATGGGCGTCTCTTCCAGTAATTGATCGGTCGTCTCTTCCACTACTTGATCGGGCGTCTCTTCCACTACTTGATCGGGTGTCGCTTCTGCCAATTGATCGGGCGTCTCCTCCGCCGATTGGCCAGATGTCTCTTCAGAACCTACAGCGAAATTAAAGTTATACAAGCAACGCAACTACACCTTAACGAGATTGTAATAACATACTTGCAACGTCCGTAATAGTGTTGTTATTAGACATCGCCTTGAACGCATCTTCATAATACATTACAATCTTCTCTCTATCCAAAGTTTCGCGAGCTGGCGCTTTATCGTTGCGTGTTCTATCTGGGAGCAGCTCTATGTTAGGTACATTACATATTTTGCATTTATCGTATCGAGACCTAAAAAGTAATGAGCGACAGTAAAAATTGTTAAAAACAATCACAACGACATATAAAATTTATCATATTCCTTACCGTTTAGCCAAAAGCTTACGATCCTCGGGTGAATAACTATCATCACCCCCGATCGCACCATTCGCTATCAAAAAAAAAAAGAGGCCACATTATATTATAAGTTAGATTCAACGCGTGTTGAGAGATGAAGAATTAATCTTAATAGTTTAAGACATACCTTTAGTCGTCATAAAGCCAATTAGTGCTAATATAACTGTTCGAACTGGGCATAAGAAAATGTAATTTTAGATCAAAAAAGGTTTCAAGAAAAAATAAAGCTGGTTGAATCCCTACTGTAAATAAAATTAACTTACTTCCCCAGGCGGGCAACCAATACTCTGGATGATACCCAGTAATACTTAGGCAAATCTTCTTGTTAGGTACAAACCGACCGTTTGGCTGGGCAAAGTATACGTAATCAATGTAAGTTTCTGAAATACAAAATATGTTCAAAGAAGAAAGGCAACAAAATAGAAGGAATGGAATATTACAGTAGTAAGCATAATATTTGGCGGCTTAAAAGGATATTCTGGCGGGAGAAGTATTCGGCCATGGTATCTATTGAATGTAAGGCAGTTTAACACATTGAAAAGACTGATCCATTAACCGAATTATTGCTTGTACATACCTTCCGCCTTCGTATTCGGAATCCATGGGACCTCGAATTACAAAATGCCATTCAAAGATATTATCCTACAAACAAAAGAGGCCAACATTCCAGTAAGTTACAAAATTCAACACTAATTCCTACCAGGTAAAATGTAGTGTACATACTTCAAGAGGTTCAGCACAGTAATCGTCACTGTCATCCTCTCGCAGTTCCTTGGCTTCTCGCAAGAGTCGTTTAACAGCTACGACGGGGTGATATTAATACAATGCGAACATTCAAGCTTTGACCTAATTATGCTCCTCTCTTACCTGGACTGCGTGTGTTGTAGCCGCATGCTTGAGAATTCTTTGCCTGCGAAGCCGACTGTTCGGCAGGAAACGACGGTTGAGCGTAAGAGTGAGACATGTTAAGGTAAACTTGGATAGAAATAAAGTCGGAGCTTAACTGAGTTTTGAAATATTATTAATACGTTGTATTCTTTATTATTATTATTAGCTACCCACACTTATATAAATACTGTCCAATCGTATTTAAATAGTGATACCAAATCCGTCGTCATTGGAAATTGTCACATATTTTTTCTTCCGCTCACAGACATGCGAAAAAGAAAATTACCAGTGAGCAGCTTAGAATCAAACGACAACGCAAACGCCGGTGGATCCAAACGAGCACGCTTCAATGTTTCTTCAGACACTACAAACGATAGCTACAATGAAGAATTTGACCACACAGAGTCACTAGAGAAAGCAAAGATCCGTCGAGGTGCCGTCAGACTCGATGGCTACGGATCTGACAGTTCAGACGATGACGGAGAGGCGTTGTACCTGCGTCGAAGCGGCACTGCCAAAGGAAAGCAACGGGTAGATGCCGATCAGGATATGTTTGCAAGCGACGATGACCTTGACGAGAACAAGGAATCGGGCGAAGTAGAATTTAGCAAGAAAAAGAAAATGAAGTATTTGGAGATTGACGACATAAAAGGTCAAGAGTTTGATTCGATAGACCGATATGATGAAGAGACAGACGAACCTGCAATTATGGCGTTTAACATGATAGAGGAAATGGAAGAAGGAAAATTTGACGAGGCTGGGAACTACGTCAGAAACCGAAAAGATCCAAATGCGTTCCACGATAATTGGCTTAACGGTCTATCACGAAGGGACATTGAGCAAGCTAGAATTGCTCATGAAAGGCAAGAGCAGCAGCGCAGACTAAAAGAAGCCGAAGAAGCAGCTCAAGCTCCGATGGATCACATAGATATATGGAAAGAATTATTGACCATAATGAATAGGGGCGAGAAGCTTGTAGACACGTTTCAAAGGTTGGGAGGAGGAAAGAAGAACAAACGTAAACGATTTACCAACAAGAAAAAGAAAGACGTAGAGGCAGAGGCAGAGGCAGAGGCAGAAACGGTCACTGAAGTGACCGAGGAAGAAAAGAAAAAGAAAAAAGATATCGAGAAATTAACTGAATTATCAGATCGAATGATGGCACTTGGACATTTTGATATATACGAGTCTAGTTGGGAACAGATATTAAGGAATTTGAAAAAGGAAGGTGCGGTTTCGCCAGATTGGATGCCGCTTGAGGTTTCCTGAAAAATGAAGAGACTAACAAGTAGAATTTGAAAACGAAAGTGTGATTATGCGTTATACGGAATTATTGTTATTTGGTTGCAGTTTATCTTTATTGCTGTTGCCTCGTTCGGCTGCACTTGTCCGCCGACATGGTTATATTTGGTGTCTGCTACGATGGACAAAATAAGAGATATTTACATTTGTATTGTATCCCTCTTGATTGCAGATCGTAGTAAGATATTGTTGTTTCTCGTACAAATAAAAAGATGTAGGGAGCATTCGTCAAGATAGTATAGTATTGGTTATACGCCGTTCAACGGTGAATAGCCGCATCTATTGTCTATGATGTTCGAAACGCTACGAGGACAAAAATCCCAGCAAGTCGTGACGTTACTGTTAATGTTATGTGGCATTTAGTTAATCCGGTTTGCATATATGCTGCCTGTACATATTATATAAATTAAAACTTAATAATTTTATCGAGAGTCATAAATGGTTCAAGTCGTGTTTATTCTCGTGATGTTGAGACGTTGCGGTTAGAATGGTTTGTAGGGACGCGATGCTAATCAACAGTTTTGAGTGACATGTGAAGAAGGGAAAGAATTTATACTGTAGAACAATCAAATTGCCTAATTTAGCATTAATTATCGTCAGATTTGCTTGGACCGTGTGTGGCATTACGCCAGGAATTTCTTTGTGTCAGTTCAACATGGACGTGTCGCAAATTTCCAATTGGTTACAAGAAAAGCCAACTTTGGACGTTGAATAACTCGTCCTAGATCACAAGCCTCTGTCGTTATTTCCTTTGTTTTTACGCTTTACTATTTATTGCATATCTCTTTTACCCTTGTTGAATAGTCTGATCTGATATAATGGAAAAATTAAAGGAGGTATGTGCTCATTTGAACGTAACGGCGTAATGTCAATTTGCGAGAACTGCGCAAAGCGAGCGATTTTACCCTGGCATTCGTTCCGTCAAATGTTACTCAATCTGAGCCTCGACGTAGTTTGACTAGACATATGAAGCGCATTTGATCTCTGTATCCATACACATCTATACATACACACACGTAAACTTTTTGTTCTCTTTAGAGACTCCAGGCTCTCCGCGCAGAAGCAGACGCCAACGCTGATCGTGCTGAAGCTGCTGAAGCTCTATGCAGGACTAAAGAAGCGGAACTTAATGAAAAAGAGAAAACAATAATTACTCTCAATAATCAAGTCATTCTTTTGGAAAAAGAACTAGAGGAAGCTCAGGCTAAAATCGAGGAAGCGAAAATCCTTAAAGAGGAAGAAGAGAATCAGAAGGCGCAGATCGAGGCGCTCCAAAGGAAGATTTCTTTACTTGAAAACGAGATAGATATAACTGAGAATAATCTTAGAGATACGACAGAGAAGTAAGGAGGGAGAGAGGGTGGAGCGAATGAGAGGGTCGGGGAATTGTCATTTCGTAATAAGTTGTTTGGAGCAAACTTGTACGAGAAGAGGGAGTGGGCTTTGTCTTTGGGTACTGATTTTCTAACTGAAACATGTTGGATCTGATTAGACTTCGTCAAACTGACGTCAAGGCTGAACACTTTGAACGGAAAGTACAACAACTTGAGAGTGACAAAATTCATTTGGAGGCGCGCGTTGAAACTCTGGAAGAGGAAATTAAATCGAAAGATCAAGAGTTGGAGGAGACTCTCAGACAAATTAACGAACTTTAGGGTGATTGATAACCGAGAGGCGTTTATCAATCTTATCACTACTATTTAATCGTTATATGTTAATAGTATCACATTGCGCATATGCATTACCATAAGAATCATTTATTCATAATAACCATGTAATAAAGGCTAATTCGAGATTTGGTTCATTTATACAAAATGAATGTAAACAAGGTTTATTTAATGAACGAGGATTCTGATTGGCAACAAAGGGCGCACATAGTATCAATGCCATAAAAAATCTTCAAAACCACAAATGACAATTTCAAGGATGTTTTTTTGCTCAATTATTGCGGCAATGGGTTTATTTTTTTATTAATATTCTGGAGATCCTCGAATTGACTGAGGGTACTTTTGCTCATTAAATCTAGAAAGTCAACAAGACTCTGTTTATTTTGAGCGTTCAAATGATAATAGGAAATATATAGTCAGAGATATTACCTTTTCCTAAAAATAGAGAGAAGCATACAGTCTGGATTGTGGGAGAGCGATAATCTTTCGTGTAGTCGTTCGCCGACAGGTCGGAATGTTCTAATTTAGCTTCAGCTCACTTCCTTATGTCGATCAGTCGGCCTGCCTATTTTAAATTAATTAAACAATAATCGTTTACAATATTAACTATTACTATGGACTATTTACGGTTTAAATATGCCATTTATATATTGATCGTTACAGCTTAAGCGAGCCCTTTATGCCGAAACCTTACAGCTTTTATGTGAGCTGTTTCTGTAGGTATATCCGGTTAATTAATATTTCAACGATAAAAGATAAAAAGTAATTGATTACTTCTTCACCAAAGTACCTAACTTACGTGTAGTTTTACGTTATATTTTTCCGAAAAATACAATCATTGTGAGTCTCATTAAAATGTGTAAAATTGAAATTCTTGAAAATATGATTTACTAGTAATTATTAATACTTTTTGGCCAATATGTGTAGATTTTGAGTCACGGAGGCAATTGCGTAAAATTTGGCGGATTTTTTAAAATTGTTGTTATTAATTGGTGATTATTTCCGACAACGCGTATCTTGAATACGTGATTATTGAGTGTTTTATGCAATCATTCATATTCTCCGTTTTACTCAAAATTATTATGCAGATTGCTGCTGGGATAATAAACAGTTGGTAAACCGCAAGTATCAAATGTAGAGACACCATTGTGTGTGAAATAATTAGAAAAAAAATCTAAAAAGTAACGCGTTATAAAAAGCCTGGCAATACGCTCCATTTCTGGTACGGGCTTTGTCAATATAAATAGTAAAATATATATTTATTTACTTATTTCAGTAAAATGGCATCCGTAAGCATAAGCTATCCGAAATAGAACCGAAAATTATCAATACGAAATGTCATAAGTAGAACACTTTTCTGGCAAATTTCAGAAACAATTAGTAATTGAAAAGCTGTTGAAGCTTATTGCGCAACGTAATCTTGCTAATTATTATTATAATAAAACTTGAGTAGAAAAAAATGAACAAATTAAAAAACATTTAAATAATATCAAAAAGTTCTGGACGGGAATGTACAAAATAATTTTAGTAATTACTAGAAAGTAGCTTTATTATTATGTAAAAATGATGGTGAGGATGGTAATATAATCTTGGGCCACATTGTGAGAAAAAACTATAATATATTAACAGCCTTTTGAATAATTATTTCTACTTCAATACCATTTGTAACATGTACCAAGACAAGTTTGCGCAAAATTTTTACCCTTAACTGACTGCTTTTTGATACAATTCAATTGCCTTTTAATATTTTATCATTATTTGCTTCAAGTTTTATTAATAGTTTAAACAAGAGAATACATACAGTGTAGTCAACATAATCATCATAGAAATGGAGTTGGAGTTGAAAACTATGAACAAGAAGCAATTGAGCTATATAAAGAATCAACTGAACAAAAGTACATCAAGGCACAAAAGAAGATTTAGAATTTTGTGTATGATGATAGTTCTAAGTAAGGTTCAAGAATTTAAGAACAATATTAATATCCAAGCAAAAAATTCAACCCCAATTTAGCAAAAAGCTTTGCAGAATATTGTAGCTTTACAAATAATTAGTATTAGTTGATAAATATTACTCTATATATATAGGGAAATTTTTTAAATTTGCTAATTATTTATTATTAATAATTATTATAGTCAGACAGGAGTGTAGCCCAAAACTTTTTAATTATTACGGAACTCTTTTATATTTATTATTCTATTTCTATCATTGGCCGATACTAATACTAATTATTAACACTCCTACGTGACCGGTGGTTTCACAAGGTTGTTGGGAATAAATTCCCGTTTGTAATTAACGGAAGAAAATTGTCAACGCAGCAGATCGGTTCTGACCCGTAGCTGATTAGAGATTCTCCAAAGATAATTAAACTGTTGTTTAATTAGGAAAAGCAACATTTCCCGACTAGTCGAAACACTAAATTGAAGACATCCCTATTTGAATATAGTACTAAAATTTCCCCTTTGTAGGTACCCTTATTTAGATACAAGTATAGGAAAAATATGGAGTGAAAAGGAAGCGCGCATATAAATAATTATTTATATTGTCACTTGTCAATTTAGTTCAGCCTTAAATGAGCAATCGTTGTAGTAAGGGCAGCGACACGAGCTAAATACGTGACAATATCATAGCGTAATTTTTTATTAGACTTATGATAATGATTTAGCATCAACTTTTTATTGGACTTATGATTTTATAATAATTTAACGTCTAATTCAACACAGTTTCTTATTAGACTTATGACCTGCGCTCTGCGTGCCGGAGGCAAAATAAAGCTAAAAAAAGTTATACATGACAACGCAAATACAATTCCATCGTCACTTGCTTAATTGTGGGGCGAATTAGTCTGTAAACCACCCTAATAGAAACTGGCATAACTTATACAGAAATAACGACGCAAATGCAAACTCATCATCATTTGATAATTTGTGGGCGAAATAGCCCTGTAAAAACTCCCTAATAGAAAACTGTCCCAGTACCCTATAATGTCTTTACTGTAGAGGGACGTGACAACCTAATAAAAGATGTAAGATATGAGATAGCTGAAGAGAAAAAGAAGTCCAAACTCAAGGCATCATCATCCAAGACAACTGGTAAGGAGAAGGAATCAATTCATTTCCCTGGTTGATCTCGAAGTCAATCCTCACTGTTGACAGATTCTATAACCATGTAATTACATTCATCAATTTGATTTACTTAATTAACTGTTATTTAGAATATGAATTGGTATTTACGCATTTGGGATTTGTCATATTGCTTAATCTTCTCGGGCCACATTTCAAAGATTTCTGATGTATTATCATCTTCAATTATCTTCAGATTCTTCATCATTCCAACCCCTCAATCATCCAAGCAACACAAAACGAATGTTTTATCCGCCTCAGCAGAATTTGCAGTTAAGGGTGTATCTTAACCAGGTATCTAAACGGAATACTTATACTATGTTGCACGACGTTGACGTGGTGGAAATATACTGAAGGATTTGTAACGTCGTATTGTTCTATACGGTCAATATCATCTTCTGACGAATAATACGGTTCTTTGGTTCGCTTGTGATTTGCATATCGGTATTTTCGTCGTCGTCATCGTTTTTCAATGGTTATATTATCTGGAATGTCTCTTCATCATTAATTCCCTGCTCCCAAGCTCTCCGAGTAATGTCAAAATTACTCCTCGCCCCTGTAATTACAACTGATTTTAATTCATATTTAATCGTTACATATTACAAACGATAATCCTGCACTCCAATGTTATCTTCCACCCACGCGGATAATTTGACTTCTAATGTTTCATTGGCTTTTTCAATCAGCCATTGAGATTGCGGATGTCGTAATAATATCTGTTCCGGCCACATTCTTGATTGCAGGATTGTAGGAGACCCAAACTGTATAAATATTTGAAAACGAAGGCTGCGACTTCCATGCTTATCAAGGCGAAAACTTTCTTTAGTCCGCTAAGGACAGGTTTGGCACCCGAAGCACTAAGCGAAGTGAGTAGAAGTAGTTTATCTTTCTGTTGCGCAAGCCATCTATGTCGAATTAGTCTATTCTTTTATTAGGCGAGACTACTAATTAATTAATGATACGGAATTAAACATCACGTGAGGTAAACAAGCGTCACTCTAAATAATAATTATAATTGAGTGTTTGATTAATCTTTATCGAACTTTCACTGTCTGTAAATTTCAATATCTTATACATATATAATATTCGACCAAATATCTTTGTATGTGGTTATACTTATAAATATGATGTTCAACAAAATACCTGTACTTCATTTACAATTGATTAAAGTTAGTTGCGGTCTTGTACCACAATATAATCAACGTACAATACTTTAATGGATCTCTCCAAGAACATTAAATTAATCATTACGACTATTTCTTTAAATTTAGAATGCGGTTAGACAAGGATAACGGGTACTGTTTAACATCGTCACGGACAATACACATGAAATAATCTACCTGTACAGAGCCTCCTGAGTCACTTGAATTTCATCAATCTCGGGAGCGAGTTCAGCCAATGCTTCATAGGCTTCTTTATGAAACGTCAACTGTGCTGTCACCAAGTCAGCAAGATTACACAAAGGCTCGGGCTAACAGTAATAAAGTATGACTAAGTACTCATCGTCCTTTAGCAGAACAAACACAATCAAAGATACTATAACAAACAAATGCCAATAAAGTGATAAGTACATTATCCAGCACGGCCCTCATCAACGTAATGCCCTCCTCAACAGCGGCAACAAACTGATCTTCAGCCTGTTCAATTTCTAGCCGCGCAGCCTCGCTTTTCTCTGCTTTTGTATTCTTATACCTTGCTTTAGCAGCATCCAAGGCCAGCCGCGTAGACTGTACGTTCCGTCTAGCCTTCATTGCAAACTGGATACCGGTATTCAACGTAGTATTAAACGGCTGAACAAATTTTTGTGTAATCTCTTCATCCATTTTTATCCTGTGCTCGCCTATTCTTTCTTGAATAGCTGCATATTTAATCAATGCTATCCCGAGAGGATCTTCAGTACCCAGTAACTCAGCGCCCTGAGCAGACGCACGTGCTAAAGCGTGTGGAAGTGTTTTGGGAACCGAAGCCTGCACTACATCCGTCTGGCGAGATACGGATTCTGCACGCTCGGCTGGACTTTGAGTTAAAACTTTGAGCTGATCTTGTACGTTGCGTGAGAGCTCTACCACAGATTCTTGCACTTGCGAAGGGTAATCATAAGACGAATTCGTATGAATGCGAGTAATACGTAAAAGATTCGTGTGAACTGTGCGCAGTGCGTCCACACGCTATGATAAAGAAACATAAGCAGCATAAGACATGATTACAGAGAATATTCATTAGAGGTAAAAAAGGACTCGGAACAGCAAATTTGGCAGTCTATGAAACCTTTTCGAGGTCTTTATATTCTTGCGGAAGATCAGTTATATCGTCAGCTGTTCCTAACTTCTCCGCGGCAAACTATAGTCAAAAGTATTGGATCAGTAATGCCAGACAGGGTCAAGAAACGTATATAGCAAACCAAGTACCTGACGAACTTGACCCAAGCCTTTATTCAAAGTGACGAGCCTGGAGGTAAGTTTGTCCATTTTGAAATTGCAGTTGATGGCTTACGTTCCGTGTGGAGACCATTAATAGACCATATTAATATTAATATGTCATTTTGTTAAAGTCAGCTGATTTGCATATAGTGTCGCACAAATGTATTCAAACGCGAAAAGAATTATTCCAACCTTCGATTAATTAATTCTGAAAAAAAGAAAATATTGTCCCTCAACTAAAACGATGAGGAATTCAAGACGCGGAATCAATTACTATGACCCGTCGAATTTACAATCAAGTATGCAAGTTTATTGACATTGGAGAATCCCAGTTTATTAAAGTAAGCACGCCTTTGTAATCAAGGGTCACGATGACTATCATCAGACGCTATAGTTAACGATTCACGAAAATATTACATTAAAGAGTTTCTATCAGAGCGCGTCAACCAAAGAACGATTCTTGTTTATAGTAAACTTTTATTAGACCAAATTCTATCAAAATATGTGCTCGTATTAAAATAATAAATTACTCTACAGTCTCTCTCCACACGTTCACCTCTTCGCTTGCTTCACCTCCATCGTTCACCTCTTCTTTGAACAATACACGTTCTTTAATCCAGTCTGCAATCTCTTCAACAGTTCCCGGTGTTCTAGTCAATGTAGTGAAATCTATTTCTTGTTGAATTGCAACGTAAAATTCTTGGTAGGTATCTATGATATGATTCTATAAAAAAATTAAATCAATCAGATACGTAATCAAAAAGAAACTAGGGTGAATTCGAGATAAATATATTACCAGCATGAGAGAGAAAAGAAAGTGTTCGGTATTTGAGTCATCTATATAGTCCGACATTTTCGATACAGTAAAGCGAAGTCGACTGATAACCGATTGTAGGAAAGTTTCATAGACTTCTACTATGCCGTCTGTTGAACGGACAAAGGAATATATGGAAATAAGGAAAAGGAAGAAGAAAGAGATAAATTAGAAAATCAAGTTGTTCGTCGAGTAGGAGATTTAATTTACAATAGATTTAAAAATAGATTGGGGGGCTTTTGCAATAACGTTAACAAAAAATATTTAGCTTTATCAATTGCTTTCGCGAGCAATACGATATTAACTATCTGAACGAACAGCGAAGCTTACCTGGCTGGGCAAAGTTCTGACTTTTTAGACTCATCTGTTGATGCAAGGGCTTCAAATCATTTCTCAGGCGAAATGCTGACACCTGCATTCGAATAGTTGAACGTGAAATAATCTCGATGGTGCAGATTTAATTGGATGTTTCTTTCGGTAATATCTCACCTTTACTAGGAATGAAGACAACGGTTCTACTGCGGCTTTAGCACTCTCCATTATAAACTCTTCGCATACGTGCTTAAGTTCCTGATCAACTTCTTGCTTCGAGTCGGTACGATTTTCCACTACTTTTGGTATTCCTTTCTGTGCCAAACCGAAAAGGGTATTGGGGCTAAGAATGGAATATTTATTTCGCATTATCGCATTCAGTGCATCTATGATTTTTAGAGGTAGGTGAGATATTAAGTTGCCATTACAAATTATATACTAATGGTTGGTGTTGGGGTTCCTTCTTATACTAACTGTAGACGAAAAAAAAACCATATAGAAAGGTACCTGTCATTTGAGAAAAGTCCAAACCCTTTTCTTCATGAACAAATTGCGTCTCGAATGACGATATGTGCTCTTTGAGAATGAGCAGATGCTTTATTAAAAACAGTTGCCTATCTAATCTGCTCTGAGAAAGGACATTCCGTTAGATCTAGACACAAGACTAAACAATGCATCATATCATTTTTACCTGTTTTTCCAAAGACTCGCTTACGCTCAATAACGATTGTAAGCATGTTGATACAACGTCCTGAGCGATGTCATTAAAGATTGTTGTCTATACCAGAGATGAAACGCTATTAGTCATACTGTTCATATTAGCATTAATTCCCAAATGCGAGGATTATGGGATCAGCATTACATTAACGCTTCGGTATAATTTCGATAATATCCATAAAGTACGTTGTAGTGGGGGGTACCATCCACGATAAATATCGCCGGCGTTGACAGTAGCGAGGATTGTCGCTGGAGTAGATGGTTCATTGACTTCGGATTCCTGTACAGATAACGTGGCCGGCCCGGATGACGGTGAAATGGGTGAATTTGTATCCAATGTTGACTCTACTTTTGGTTCGTTTGAATTACCTAAACAAATATACATCGACAGCATAAGATGACATGCGTATTTAAAATTATATACATAATGGACGTCATATAACGAACTTTTCAATCGGGCAGGATAATTCAAGTCTTCTTCTTGAGGGATAAACTTTTGTATTGATGATTGGATATAAGCCTGTGCTCGAAACACGAGACGTTGCTGTGCATCTTGCAATACATTCTTGACTAAATGGCCAAATTGTAGGCCTTGTCCTCCACCTAAACACCAGAAGTATTGAATTAGGCATGGAAATATAATCACAATTATTAACGGCATTTACTGACTTCCACGTTCTGCATCCTGATCCGCATGTATTTGTAATATATTGCATAGCTCAGATAAAGTATCAATATCTGTCTCGTGTATAATGCGAGGTCGGAGGTCGTCGTACAAGTAACTGCACAGTAAATCCAAATTTCCACTACAAATTTGAGTTTAGGTGCAAGTCAACAACCGATGTTATGAAGTCTTTGAATAAATATAATGCGAAGGTACGTACTATAAGTGATCTTCACCAGTTGAAAAAAAGTTATAGAACAGCGAATATTCATCACCACAGAGGTTCAACATGTAAGCATATCCGGTGCGTGCCTGCGTGAATACATACATATTAGGTACTCGTATCTATGACATCAAAACATAGACATTCACTTGTACATACAAAGGTCAAAATATCCTGTCCACCTGCACTTATCTCTTGAATCTGGACTACAATTGCAGGTATTAACACTTGTTGACGTACAACAAAATATGCTTTGTAGCAATCGTTTAAAAGAGAGTAATACCTGTCGTTATATTAATACATGTATGTTCAAACAAAGTGAACAGACTACCCAAAATAAAGACTTACTCTCTATGGCCAGGACATCGTTTCTCAATCTCGTGCACGAGACCCTTCAACTTTGGAGCTATCGTACGGAATTTAACGTAATGCAGAGCTGTTTGATTAGCCGAACTTGCGTTCTTTCAAGAATAAAATACGTTGTGTTTAGCATGATACGATTATTAAAGTTACGGATCAATTACCGACATCAATCTTTCTCTCGGTGAACTACCTGCGCAGTCTGTTTGGCAATTTCCATGCTGAGTGTATTTATCTCGTTTACGAAATACATCTTAATCAATGTCATTCCACGTGTCATGCATTGTCGGAAACGCATAAGATAGAGTTCAGAATCTCTATATCGTAACTGTTCAACCGAATAAAAAGCCATTGATAGGTTAGTAACAGTTATGCAATAAAATCTCGAAAACATAAACTTTTAGTCATGCTCTCCACTTTCGATTAGCCCAAAAAATTAAACGTACATTATTTTGCATATACTCCAAACACTCGTCTAGTCTCTTCAATTTCGGAACAAACTCCGGCTGCTCACATATGTTCTCCCCAGGCGAGCTAAATAACTTTGTGATGTCCTCTAATTCATCATAGTACCGTAATTTCTCTACTATAGATTCAACGATTGACGACAAATGATTCTGATTATAACATAAGAGAGTTTTAGAGTTCCATGTTAATTTATCGATCCTAGGAAAATTCGACAAGTACATATTGTCTATAAAGTCAAACACCCCTAACCTGTTCTGCCAATAATTTCTCACAAGAAGTTTGAAGAGCCTTAGTACGATCTTCGACAAATTTGAAATTCCCCTCCAGATCATTAAACAAGCTCTCTGTGGTGTCAATTTGCCCAAGAACTTTATCGTTTGCTTCGCGGTATAACATCACTGCTGCAAGAAAATTCCTATCATCTTTTTCCTGTTATTATTCTGTCTGGTGGCTGACACATACAATCCAACGCTCCCTAGTATTCAGAGCCTACAAGAACTAACCTATAAACATCCTCCTGATCTTTTTCCATGTCAGCCTCCATCTTTGCAAACCAATCAAAAAATTGTTGTGTTGTTTCGATAGGTTTTCCGATTCCGAGCGCTGCATCGGATGACGCTCCCCCTGCGGCTAATTCGGAGGACTGCAGTTCGGCCAGTAAACTGGTTGTTGATCGCGATCGCGGTAATGGATGTCCGGAAAGATGCAAGTGGGGAAGCGGTGAGGAGTTGGTGCGTATGGGTTCTCTCAGCGACGGAGAGGAAGTGAGGTGAGGTTGAGGGGTTCCTGGTTGCAGATCGGTGAGAAACTGAAGAGAGGAAGTAAGAAAAATGTGAATGAGTTGAGAGGAATGGACACAGCATCAACCTGGTTATTATAATCTTACCCCTTCAGGAAGCGGCAGTTCCTTGCAAGCATCTTGAAGTTCTAAAACGCTCACTTTCTGCGACTCTGTTAGTTGTGTTTTCGATTCCCAATCTTCTAAGGTGATTCCCTTGCCTCTTGTAGTTAAACTAGTGGCCATGTCATTCTTGATCTGTTATGTTGACTTTTAAATTTACAGCATAATATTGTCAATTTTTTCCCAAGTCTCTCTTCAACAGATGTGCTGGGGATGACAATACACATTCTAATGACTTACAAAAAATTGTTTGCCGAATCTTGGTGGGTATGTGCTCTCGTCCGCAATAAACAGTTATTTGTCTAATTTCCGATCATGTGCTACTTTTAATTGACTCCACTAAATCCAATTAATCATACCAACATGTTATATTAATATTGCACGCTAATTTTAATGACGTTTTGTTTTAAATCGTAATCCAGTCTAACATAATAGCGTAGTTAGATTATACTTGAATATCTTGCCATCTTCTGTTTATTATAAGAATTATTATAATTTTGAGGTCATTTCGCAAAGAATGTGTGTTATGCGGGAAAGTTATACAGAAGGGCAGGAGCAAGAAGCGACGTTCCTAACAGATGGCTTGGACAAACATTCAAAGTTTTTCCCATATTGTATTTTATTTAACGTGTCGAGAAAATTCTTTGCGCTTGTAGTAACGCTTTTATCCGTGGACTTGGGTGTTGTGCAATTTTGTGGGACGCGCCTTTAATCTCTTGAAGGTAACGCTTGCATCATTTCAGAAACAATGCAACAATCAAACATTAGATTATCGTTCACGACTGGGATATCTATTGGATTAAAGAGCTTCGAGAATTACGAAACATAACTGCCACCCGGCTTGGCCGAGTTGATACAAAGAAAATCTTCACAGATAGCTCGTACAACCTACGGAGCAATCAATAAATTGCGAAAGAATGTACAATTATTTTAATCGTAGATAGCTAAAGGCGTCAGCACACTCCACAGTAGGTGTCATAGTCGCCAAAAAATTTACAGACGATAGTTTGGCCACAGCAAGGAAACCGTCGAAATACGGCGTTATTCTTGCTCATAAAAAAGATCTTATACATTTGATGATCTCGCGATTGGATTTGGCAGGTTAATTACATTTTCGACTTGAAAAATTTACGCGTAGCACAGCGGTCAAAGACACGCTTTGGCAACTAGATTGACAGCAAACAGTGTCAATGTATCTCACATGACGGGTTACGAAAAGGTAGTAAGGTGTCCGAATCATGTATCCACACCGAAATTTTGTTGGTCAAAGAATCATCAGAACAACATACATGTAATTGGTATGCGGACGGACTAACGAATAGACGACTGTTCCCAGGATCCATCACATATGTTATACATCAGCTCAATTTGTAATATGAATATGGTAAGTATGAAAGGGCGAGGGTGGGGATGAATTTTTTTTACTAATTTGATTTACTCATTATGTTCATTTTGTCTGGTTTTGTTGCCCCATATCCGCAACCAATTACAATGGCGAATCCCCCACATAAATTCTGATCTAATTTATATCAAATATTAAACAAGCAACCTCGACTGCGAATTACTAAAGAACAAAAAATCACATGACATACGGAACCCATCTTGAACATACTTTACTGAGATTAGTTGAATATGTAAATATCTTTAATTGTTTTTCAAAGGTCTCCCAACCTCCTCCTCTGTTATTTTTAAAATTATGTGGGGGTTTCATTTAGTAATTCTTCACCAATTTTTGCAAAATTTCTGAGGTAAAGCTTCGCGAGAGGACTTCTGAGTGGAAGCCATCTTTAATGCTCTCATCCCACATCTTCAAATGCTTTAATTTATCTGTAAATTGTGTGTTCAGACAGTGCATTGGGTCCCTCAACTTTTGATAATTTTTTTTGCAATTTGGCCATTTTCCCAGCTAGCAAAAATGTAGCAACATTGACATTCCTCACATAAAAATTTTCCATACGTTTTAGGGTTTGGTTTTTTGAAGCAGATTTCTCAACAACCATCAAATCAAATTGTATCATAACTGTCGTGTATCTCACACTTTGTCATTCCCGATTGCGACTACCGACGTTTCGAACAAATCGCACTTGCAAACCCTCACTCTTTTGAAATGAACCTTATTGATGGTCAACTCGAAATTAAAATGAGTCCAGTCAGCTTTCAAACCGATGCGTTGCCTTTTACTAGCATCCTACGTTATTGAGTTTGAACGCTGGTGAGTTCGCTAATAGCACTAATGCTCTGCCGTAATCAGCCAAAAAAGAAGCCGCAATCATGAAGCTAATGGGGCAGAATATGGTAGCAGTCAGGTATGTTATATAAGCTGCTGTGCTCACTTTGCTTTACGCTACGAATATCACATTCCCTTTGTTATCCTTCATTCAGGCATGTTTTTCACTGCCTACTGGGGACGTGCTGGGTCCTGATGGCTGTGCCATTCTCCACTCCAGGTATTAAATGCTGTCAAAATGACTTCATATCAGTATTGCTTTATTTTAATTTCAATTTTGTATATTGCAGGTGGAATACGTTATCCGATGAACAAAAGGAACAAACGTTTCCACCAATCGCACCGAATTACATTGTGGAATTGCGTTCACGGAGTGATTCTCCCCAGCAAGTCCATAGGAAAATGAAGCGGTGGATGGAAGGTGGTGTTGATGTAAGTAGATAATGATGATGATCGTTTCATTTGATCTTGTTTATGAGTGACCGTTATCATTGTATCATCTAGGAAGGGGGTATCGATCGATCCTTATGAGCGCGTGGTCAGGGTCTATACTCGCGATGCTCATAACAATATCACTTGGCAAGAATTTGCGAATCCTAATCCTGCACAGCTTCCCTCTCAGGTTTCGTGCTAGATTTATCTAATGTATTATAAATTCTATTATATATCACGAAATAAATCAGCCTTTCAAAAGTCAATTTTTTTGTTCCTTACAATCGTTGCGATTGTAATATCAATTCGTTCAATACTGAATATACACTCCCTGGACAAAAGTATCCGATGGGAGTTTTTTCGATTTTATGCAAAATCCAGTATAATAATTTTGTAGCTTTGCTTTTTGCAACGTAAATAAAATTTGGTTTATTATTACAAACATGTGATTTGCTCAACTTTTTCTTGCCACCTCTTTCTTGTATGTAAATAATTAAATAAAAAAAGCAAAGATTTTCGTGTTGTTTTGTTTTGTTTGTTTTTATCGCATTGTTTCCAAATTTTATTTCCGAGCACTTTTATTATTATTATCGTTTACAATGCCAAAAGGTTCCGAATTGACAGAAGCTGATCGAGGAAAAATCTTAGGTCTTAAAACAGGTGGAGGTAGCATTTCAAAGATATCTAAGACATTTAAAAATCCGCCATCCACTGTACGGGATACCATTGTTCGCTACATAAACTCGAAGGAGTGGTAGACCTACTGTAAAAGCATAATAAAAAAATATTAAAAGACATTGTTCGTAGAGGTAACAAGCATTCTGCAGATAAAATTTAATCAAGGAACTGGCAAAGACGTTTGCACTAAAACTATTCGTAGAGGATTGCATAAACTTGGAATCAGCGAAATTGATTTTAACCACAATTGCCTTTTGTGTGATAATTCGTCGTTCAAGAAAGCTAAACACTTCAAACTTCACCATTCCTTCGTGTTTTTTTACTTTTAGATGAGAAAAGCCATCGAAATTAACGTTTCTCTCTTTTTGATTTTCAAGATTCAGAAAAAATGCTCTCTCAATAAACAATGTAAATACTTTATTAAAGATTAGTCTTATTACATTCTCTATTATCTACAATCTAATTATTTTAATATCTACAACTGAGTCTAATAGAAAATACCTTGGGTTCAGTAAATTGTTCATTGGCTTGTACCCGATTTTCATTGTTCCCTGAACCTTTACCAGTCTTCTCTTACTCCCAAAACTGCTATTCCAACGCAAAATTAGCAAAATCAAAACAGAATGCAGGCAGCATTATCTAAAAAGCTTTGTTAACACGTGTTATTTTGCTCTTTTTTAACTGGTTGAATATGAACTGTAGTCTCCCAAGTTTATATCATGCGCAGCATCGATGTTCAACGATAGAAGACATGATCTATTGTTTTCCATTGCACTAAGCGGAGAAAATGATGGCAACGATCGTGATAACGGAATTAAGACTACATCCTTGTCTAAATGTTCTTTTCCCTCTCGCTCCCCCAGTTCTTCGCCCTTACACCACGAATACTTTGCTCCTTTCTTATTCTCCGTTCCGTATCCTAATTTTCTAAGTCCGTAAAACCCGTCCGTCTTTCTTTTCCTTTCTTGACCTACTTTCGACAGTTTCACTGTATCCGTAATTTCTGTAGGAACGAAATGAAGATTTGACTCGGTAAAATACGGGTGAAGCAACGCGTCAAGCGCTGTCAACCGTTGCCGGGGATTGTAGCGAAGTAGATGCAAAAGAAGTTGAATAAATGTTGGGGATGTGAAGCGGGGTAATCTTTTGGCTATGTTTTGAGGTGGTATCTAGACGTTAAGCGAGGAGAGAATGTAATAAAAGTGAGTTGAGCGAGGAAAACCAAGCGATATAAAAAAAAATGAGAATCAAGTAATGTAGTTGCCAAGTTGCAAATCTCAAAAAACACGTTATAACAAATTCATTTTAATACTCACATCAGGGAAACAGAATCCTTTACTCTTGGCCAACTTGACGCCTTCTTTCCAACCACCCCCACCCATTCCACCAATCTGTCCGACTGCATCATCTACAGGTGTCGGGCTACCCAATACCTCGCATATTTTGAACATTTGATCAATTTCGCTTTGACCAGGGAAAAGCGGTTTTAGTGTGCAGACTTCGGCCATGATCACACCAACGGCCCATAGGTCGACGGGAGCTGAGTAGGATGGCGAACGCAGGAGGACTTCAGGCGCACGGTACCTGATAAGGCGGGAGTGCAAAGCAAAGAACATAATTAGATATTGTGAATAAACAAACAAGGACAATATCAAAGAATGACGGTTAAACATTACGCAATAATCATATGTATAATAACAATAACACGCTTTTATCTCACGCATCAATACTTACCACCGGGTGCTGACATATTCTGTATATGGTGGACGTGACTTTATCTCTCTGGCTAGCCCAAAATCTCCCACTTTCACAAGATACTCTACATCTTCGTCATCGACATCATCATAACAATTCCACTTATCCTCTTTCCAGTTATTTTTCCCCTTTTCTTTCTTGCATACGTCCTTTCCGTCATCCCAGTATTGTATTAGGCGTTCATTTATATCTACATCAATGGTTGATTTGCCTAATATTTTTAGTATCTCGTAACGTTTCCCCTTTATGTAATCGTTGCCTTTGCTGCTAGTGTTGAACACTTTTTGTCTTTTGCGAGTGGATATGAGAATGTTTTCAGGTTTTAAATCTCGATGAAATAAACCGTGTGAATGTATATGATATACGCCTTGTAGCATTTGATACCTGATGGGAGAGAAGAAATCGAATATGATCAGTTGTTGAAATGGGTCATCAGCATGGTGGGGAGGGAGGAGATATAATCTTGAACTGCAATTTACTATTCATACATTATAGACTGAACGTTTCTTTGGCCGAGTTTTTTTCCCTTTCTATCTTTTATCAATTGATACAAGTTCCCTTCCATATACTCAAAGACAAAGTGTAGATCTCGTGTTTGTGGAAGAAGAAATGCCTCTAGCAAACATATTACTTGCGAATGTGTTGGGAGGAGACGAAGCGACTATTGGAATGAGAAAACAGAATAGAATTTGGTGAGTGTGATTAGTGAAAATAGTGAATTTTTTTGATGGTGTATTGTAATGAATACCTTCGATTTGCCATTATCATTACTATTCTATTGCCATCCCTTTTCCTATCCACAACTAGTTCAACTATTATTAATAATCAAACGCCTTGCCTTGAATTCTCGTAATTCACACGCTTTATCCCATGAAGAGAATTTCTTTTTCATTTTCTTTATCGCTACCTGATATAAAAGAAAACGTGAATGAGCGAGATTATCAACGTATAGTGTACATACTCAGAACATTCTACTCCAACAAAACCGCTAATACACTATATACCATTTGCCCTGTATGTTTATGTTTAGCCTGTATAACTGTTCCAAAGGAGCCATCACCTAGTTCTTTGAGCACATCATAGTCTTCCATAGCGAGTGCAGAGAATACAGGCTTAATAGTAGTAGAGTGAGCGAGCACGTTTACTACGGTTTTTGATTTTTTATCTGTTCTCGTTCTGAACGACTTTTGATACTGACTTTTTCTCTCTTTGTCTCGTAAACACGACAAGGCAATTAATATGATCTTTCAGACGGTTTTTGTAACCGTTGCACGCCAATGCATATTGCCAAATGAGGCAACAAGGCGAAAAGGCGCACGTAGTGCCAGGGGTACTTCCCGTGTCTTACGAACCCTAACTTTCATACGTAGAAAGATAAAAACACTCAATTTTACAGAGGGAGGGAAAGGAAACTTCCTGGCTTTTAATGACATTTAACTAGGACTCTCCTGATGGGACTTTTGAAATCTCTAGATCTCGATGATCTCAAGGTAAACACTAATAAGTTTGACTTCGGTCGACAGCGACTCGACAAATTCCGCACTGCTGAGGGCATTCTGACATATTGTTTGTAATATCGTCGTATTAACGCTATATACACAACTTGGTTTTAGCTGATAGCTTTCTTCGTTATTTTTGTAATGTAACGTGACGGTTTTATTAATTAACTATGATGCTGTAATGTCATGTTTATTTATGACCCAAACGCGTTTGTAAATGTCTACTAATTCACTTTATCCATAATGATAACACAGTCCTCCTGTATTAAATATAATTCCAATTATTGCACTTGTAATGCCTATCTATACTCGATTTATACGACAATAAAAGAAATTTATGGTTAATCGCAATAATTTCTCGAATGGCACAAACCGAGGTACTCGTTCTATATTGATTCACTAAAGACTGCATCTCCTTGAAGTCCATCTGTACGTGAAACTGGCACTTGTTACATTGTTCGTCTCGCTTGCGAAAGGTTTTACACTGTTACATGAAGTGTTAGAAATGAACATGGCGATGTCATTTACTTGGCAATCAATCAATAGCAGCGTTGTTATTTGTACTAATTACCAATTTTTAGACAAGAAACTCTTCTAGTTAATAAACAGTAACTGCAGATTGGCCGTAGCTTAATTGCATATTAAGCTATTGACAATAATCAAAATCATAATCACCCAAAATATCACATATACGTTCAATGTAATAATAATAATAGGATAAATCTGTTCGCAGAATAAACGTCAAGTTCACAAAATTTGTCACCGCATGCTGGAAATGAGAAAAATCATCTAAACTCCTATCTTGTCTAACTTTTATCCTCTATCGTTCGCATCCCTTCCAAACTTTGCAACAAACAATCACACTTCACGTTTATTTTTATATCAGAGTCCATCGATCAATATCCTCTTTAGTTTTGTAAAAAATCTTGAAGCATTTCGTCCACTACCTGTCTCTCACAACTCAAACCCAACACCTACCTTGTCAAGTTTATGCTTATCAAAAGCTGTCTGGAGCACTTTGAAATTAGCCACGTATTCATATTCATGTTTAGCACCAAATTTGACTTTATTGAGCTGAACGTCGCCTATGAGATATAAAAGTATGATTGAAGGAGGACGCATAGGAAAACGGTATAGACGTGAGAATGTGGAATATACGTGGAGTTGATTATAAGCATCCACACGTTGATTTAACGCGGATAGTGAAATGACTCTTGAGATAGAAAGACATATTTACCGTATATGGAATCGAGGATTTGACAGTGGGCAGCTCCTGTTTCGTGTTTTGAAATGAGTAAGTCAAAGTGTAAAGATCAAAAGGGAACTTAAAGTCATGCTGATGTTGTGCTATTTCTGTATCACTTTCTCTCAACAAGCATAGAAACTATATTCTCCTTTAGGATCGTTTGGACCCCTGCACTTTTCTTGTTGTATTCTCACTTTTCCAAATTTTTTCTCACTCTTCTCACTCTTCACGTTCTTTAGTTATTTTTACCCTCACTCTCACACTCTTTTAATCTCCAATACAGATGCGAGTCCCATACCTGTCCCGCATTGCTCTATTTTCGTATAGTTCAACTGC